AGGTCTTAAATCGACCCCAAAGAGGCCTCAAAATGACGCCATGAGGCCCCCGATCCTCCTCGATCCTCCTCGATCCTCCTCCTCCTCCTCCTCCTCCTTCTCCTCCTCCTCCTCCTCCTCCTCCTCATCCTTCTTCTCCTCTCCCTCCTCCTCCTCCTGGTGACTGAAGGGAGTGGTGCCTCGTGAGCTGGTGGGACGGTCACCTGTCTCCTTGCACCGCCGGCTCTTGCACCGGGCGGCAGGCCCCCAAACTGGTAGAAAGTGAGAAGCTGCACCTTCAAGGGGTTCGCGTCTCGCTTGGGGCCTGGGCCCAACTCTTTCCGAATCCAAGCCTGCCCCCGAAGCTCGAACGCAGCCGCAACAAAAAAGAAGCTGACCTGCCAACGTGTGCCCCACGAGAATTTGTTTCTCCCGTGGGCCCACAGGGGCCTTGGGGCACCTTGCGAAGCTCAGGGGCGACGAAAAATGTACCCCTGTAGACATTGTGTAAGAAGACTTTTGATATTTGGCGCCGATGAGAGCAGCGCACACGAAACTGTCAACACACTGGCATGAATTGCATACGCACAAACTGTTTCACGCATGCTCTACCCACCGGGCGGGCCTCCCTCTCACCCGCCTTGCGCCGAGGCGCCCTGTCCCTCTGCCGCGGAGAAAAGCCCGCAAACCCTCTGGGCGCAGGTGGTCTAGCGATGACTTTCTTTCCTTTTCCAGAAGTCCTTCTTCCCCTTCTGGGAAGGGTGGACCTGGACGGGAAGGGCCGCGATCGGTTGGAGCGTCCAAGATCGGCCCCTGGGGGGGCCAATTTTTGACATCCCATCACGAGGATCGTGGCCCCCGAGGGCGGGGCCTCGATCGGGTGCCTCCCTCCTTTGATCGATAGCCTCGAAGATGGCCCCAAGAGGCGCGCTCCAGGGCTCCCAAAAGAGCCCCAGGAGAGCCCCAAGAGGGGTCCAAGAGGGTCCCAAGAGGGCCCCAAGAGGCACCCGAGAGGCCCCCCAGAGGCCCCCGAACGATCTCAGAGAGCCCAAGATGACCTCCAATATGGTTAAGATCGCCCAAGCTGAACTCGATGGCCTCCAGGATGATCCCAATAAACCTTCCAGGGTTGCCAAAAGGACTTCGAGAGGGCCCCCCTAACTCCCAGAGAACACCAGCAATGCGTCCTCGTTTGCGTCGTCCTCATCCTAGTCCTCGTCCTCCTCGTCCTCGTCCTCATCCGCGTCCTCGTCCTCCTCGTCCTCCTCCTCCTCCTTCTCCTCCTCCTCCTCCTTCTCCCCCTCTTCCCCTCGCCCCCACGCGGCACCTAGGGATGGCCCGAAGAATCTTTCCAAGGCCACCCCCTTGCTCGCTTTGTTTCCCTAGATGCGAGATGTGTCTCTTCGTCTTTTTTCCCGTCAGCTCTGAAGGGCAGGGTTTCTGAATGGGCTGGTGGGTGTACTTTTTGGTCGCGGGCAGACGCGTGAAGCTGTCGCCGAGAGGGGGGTCTGGGGCACGGGCCAGCCTAATTAGCTACCGAGCGACGCGCAAGACGGCCGGGCCAGCGCTCAGAAGCGGCGGGCTGTTGGGGATACGCGAAGCGTGAAGAATTGCTCTGTCCGGTTGATGACACGATCAGTAGCTAGGCCGTCCGCTGCTACGAGCATCCTGGCGGCTGGCGTGCGCCAGTGCCACTGGAGATGGGCGCGCCACGTCCCGGCCAAAACCTGCCACCGCTCGCCCCACGGGCCACCGTTCTCGGATATCAGTTTGCTGATGCCCTCTTGGTATGCCGCCGCTACTTCCGCGGGGCTGCTGCTCTCCCGGGGGCGCGTGGATGGGCCCGTGGAGCATGCCGACCATGTTCCGCTGTGCCGAACCCAAGCGCTTCCGCAGCGTCGACGCGGGAGCGATCGGTGAGAGGCGGTACCGGAAGCCCGCCCCCACTGCCCGGGTCATGTTCCGCTTGGCCAGCCGCACCGGGAGCAGGCCAGCATTGCGCACCCCCTGCCTCCAGAGAGCTCTGCCACGCCTTCGCCACGGCAGCGTCAAAGACGGCGTGGTGCGACCCGTCGACGTGGATCATGAAGCCAAGAGCATCCAGGTAGACAGTCCTCACCTTCCACTCGCCGAGCTGCTTCGCATTCGGGGAGCTCAGCAAGGACGAGTGGACTAGTATCTGGCGGGAGGAGGGCTTCAGCTCCAGCTACCAATGCCCCTGCAAGCTCGACCCGACGGCTCGCATGAGCTCTATGGCTGGCTGGGGGTCCGCGCCGGCGGCGTAGCAGGTGTCGGCTCAGAATCCTGGCAAGACCTGCGCCAGCGCGGCAGGCGGGCCGAGGGTGGCAGAGAGCAGTTCAAAAATTGCACTGGTGTCCCCAATACCTGCGCTCTCGCTGCCAGTCAGGAGGCCTCTCGTCCGCTTGCCCACCGACCCGGCCTCGCCCATGATGGCAAGGGGCACGTCTGGGCACAGATGAAGCCTGGCGAGCGCGGCACCAACGGCGATGTCAGCGCCCCGAAAGGTTAAGCAGACTGCCGCGCGCAAGGGCTCCACATTGTCAAAATATGCCTTAATGTCCCCTGCAATCACTGCGTGTTTGGTGGATAGATCCGCCGCAGCCTCCGTGGCGAGCTGCGAAGTGAACACCACGTCGAGACATCGTCGGCCTTTGGAGTTCCCCAAGGCCCTGTCCGAGACCCCGAGGCCCTCGGCAACGCTTTCCACCAGAGGCCCAGCCCTGTCTACAAAAGGACCAGCTGCGACAGCAGTGCTCTGAGGTCGCTGCGGGCCGGGGCCCCTGTGGTCTTCGACTTGAGTGCGCCTTGAATCTGCACCCCTGCCAGGAGGGACGAAGAATTGAGCAGGTTTGTCAGATACCTTGCGATCGGCTGGCCCGAAAAGCGAACTGGAAAGCCCGCGCGGCCACGCCATGCCCATCGCACAAGGCCTTGCCTTCATATTGCCGCTAGCGTCCGCCCACTGCTCCATGGACGGGGCCAGGGCGGGCCACCCAGCGTCAACGAAGGCCTGGGCCGCACCTCAACGCCTCCTCACGGCAGATCGCCGGGTCGATCTCAACGCGCGGGCTTGCCTCTGGCCCAAGCCGCAGGGCTTCGACCCGAGAGAGGGCCTTAGAGGATGCCACCACGCCGCCAGACGAGATCCGCAGGCGCTGCTCGGAGAGCTTCCTTTGAACGTGGTGCTGCTGGAGGGTGCGCCACAGATCACGCTGCCGAGCTCCCCGGCTCGTGGCGTCTGGGGCCTCGCGAACCCTCCGCTGGAAAGCTTTGATGGCGCAAGGCCCCCGGTCAGCACGGCGCTGCTGCCGAGAGGTCGTGTCCTGGAAGGCCCCCATGGCTATGCGGATCTTGGCAGCGAGCTCGGAGTGGTCCAAGAACGATCCAGGGCACCTCGCCGCGAAGAAATTCATGAAGCCACGTTCGTCCGAACACCTCCACATTTGCTGCTGACGGCGGGCCCGGGTAAATAACGGCAGGCCTATATCGATGACCAGCGCCGCGTGGTCTGCCACGACCACGGCCCACTGGAAGGAAACATTTTAGCGAAGACGTGGTTAGTGCGCACTTGCATCTATCAACGAGGGGAACTGGAAGAACTCTTGGTCCCCCATCGGCAGCCGGCTGGTCACCGTGTACCCTTGCGCACGGACGTGCTCGGGCAGGCTGTGGACTTCCGTCGGAACGGCCTCCACGAGGCCGACCGTCTCGAGCCAGTCTGAAGCTAGTGAGCCTTTGGGAATCGCGTCGGGAAGGCGTGGGAGAGGCTGGTGCAAGATGCCGGTGTTCAGCGGCACCGAGGGAGTCGATATTGAGGTCCCAAGCAACGACGTAGATATCCCGTTTCCCTCGGGCTGGTGGTAATACTGCACTAAGAGCGTCCAACTGCTCATCTAATTCAAGGCTTCCGTGAGGAAAGTGACAAAATATGCAGTGCGCCAAGTAGCTGACGGAATCGGGCGGCCCAGCCTGCAGCGAGACCAAGATGCACCGGCGCGCAGTCGATCGCCTTCACGGACCTCGCCACCGAGCGCCGGATGGTCAGCAGCTGCGCACGAGCACACAGCCCAGGCCAGATGCGGTAACGCGCGAAAGCCGCCGAATTCTGATAGGGGATCGCCTCGGACGCTGGGCGGTTGCACGCATCTGCTTCTAAGACGTGCAGTAAGCCCTGATGTCTCCATGCACGCGGGAACGCCTCCACGAACGCGAGGATGCCCGTCTTGGAGTTCAGGGCAGCCCCCGCGTTGAGGGAGACGACTTCGAGCCGCGAGAGGTCCTCTCAGGCATTGCTGGCGAAGGCAGACCCTTCGTCCAGCACAGCGGCGTCGTAACGGCTCCGCGACTTCACTGACCAAGCCCACGTGACGGTGCCCTGGTTGACGGTCCCGATGCGGCCGAGGCCTTGGATGGAGACGGATTTGGACCTCTGGCACAGCTGGAACTCCTCAAATGCTGTAGCCGTCCTCCCGGCGAGATTCCACCTCCTGGATGGTATCAGCCATCTTCCTTACCATCCTGGACGGCTTCAGCTCCTCCTTCGACTTCTGGGGAGCCAACCAGACGGGCTTGGGCTTGCCCTGCACCGAACGGAAAGACTTCTCCAGGTCCTCCACCTTCTTCGCGGCTTCCTGGAGAAGCTGGGGCGTCCCGAACTCGAGCTCAGCTGCCGAGCCTGATCCCCGGAAAGACGCTTTCAGGCCTTTGTACGATTCCTCCACGACATGAGCAGAGTTCAAGACTGTCTTGGCTCTCTCCACAATCGTGTCCGGAGTGTCGTCCCAGCCGAGGTTGCCGAGCACGGCCTGCGCACGCTGGGACCATGGGGTGGTCTGCGGCCTCTCCTCGGCGGTACGGGGTGGACTGGACTGGAGTACGGCGGCGACCGTCTGCTGCAGTAGCTTGATATCCGTGTCCGTCTGGTCGCAACGCCCGTTGAGCTTCACGATCTCGGCGTCCATGATGGTCGCACTCTTCTGGAGCTCGCTGACCTGCGCCTGCGTGCCCTTGAGCTCCGCGCTGACGTTCCCGATGGATGCATGCAGATTTGTGGACAGGTCCAGCATGGCCTGCTGGCACTGCTCGGTCCTCGCCTCGAAGCCGCTAAATAGATCACGAAAGAACTGCATCTGCCGCTCCCCAAGCGCCGGGGGGCCCTCGGAGGGCGCCGGGTCCCGACCGAAGGCACTGGGGATTGGTACGGCTCGGTCTCGGGGAGGAAATCCTCTGACCCACAGCGGCGAGGTCGCCTTCCATGGCCCGCGGCTGCAGGTCGTCCGCGTCGCCGTCGTCGTCGGCCCAGGCGGCCGGGGTGGCCGTTGACCTGCCTGGTGTAGACGAACCGGCGCTCCCCCCTCCTCCTCCTCCTCCTCCTCCTCCTCCTCCTCCTCCTCCTCCTCCAGCTCCTGCTCCTAGATGGCCGTGTCCACCACCTGGATGAACGCACGCAGCTGCTCCCTCAAGGCCCAGAGGAGCGGTAGGCGGTCCTGCCCTGCCTGGAGTAGCTGCCGCGCCCACGGGAGCAGCCTGGCCCGCTCCATGAGTATGGACCCCCCCCCTGGTGCGCTCGACGACGAGCCTGCAGGCCACGGCCAGGGGACCTGCTGCGCTGGCGCTGCTCCATTGCTCATGTGCGGCGCGGACAGCTGAGGAGGGGGGCTGAAAGCAGCGGAACTCCTGGGCGAAACTGCACACCGGGGGGAAGCACTTGCTGACCTAGTCAGGGCGGAACCGCACGCTGACTTGATGCTCGATGCTTGATGGTTGATGCTTGATTTGATGCTGTAGCTGGGCCTCCCGCGGCTGATGAGTGGCGTGCGTGGACGCTGCGTGGCAGCACAAGCCCACCACGGAGGCCCGCTGCTTCACGAGCGGTTCGCCTGTGTCCTGCCAAAGGTCGAGAGCGGCCGTGGGGTAGGTCATTGTACTGTTCAACGCTGCTTCGGTTTAGATGAAGCTGGTGACGTTGACACTGTCGAAGAGCGCTCAAATTCAGCAGAACTTTCATGGGAATCGATGCTGGCCCGTGCACAGCCAATCTACTGAAATCCAGGCCCAAAGACACTCTCATGAGACGCCCAGAAAGCATCTCAGAATGTCATCTTTAGGCACAGGGATGCTTCGACCACGAACGACGTCTGAGGAGGTCGCAGGAGGCTCCAGGCAGGCACCCAAGAGCCACCCAGGAGGTCCCAGCGAGCCTTCAATAGGCCCGAGCAAAAGATACTCAGAGGGCCACCGGCCACCGCACTCGAGGGCCTACACGAACACGCATACGCTTTCTCTCCGATGCGCCAATGGGTCACAGCCAGTGGTGAACTGTCGAGAAGGGACACTGCCAAGACGACCAACTCGCATGTGCAGACAGGCGCACGGAACACCTTTCTCCCAACCATCCTGTGGTGCTGGATCCTCGTTTTAAAGAGACAGCGCCCCGCGCCCCCTCCTCCTCTCCTCCTGCCCCTCCCGCCCTCCCTCCCATCCCTGCCTCTGCCTTCCGCATGTCCATGCCAGCACATCTCTCACACGTTTCGTGGCCCCACAGGGAGCTCCACCGAAGGAAGGCCCCAGTTGCAGCGCCAACATGGCACCGCCGCGACCATTTCGGCACACCCCATCACACGTTTCGTGGCCACATATGGAGCTCTGCCGAAGGCCCCAGTGGCAGCGCCCACATGGCAGAGCCGAACCCATGTCGGCAAACCCCTCACACTTTTCGTGGCCCCATAGGGAGCTCCACCGAATGCGTCAGTGACAGCGCCTGCATTGCAGCGCCGCGCCCGTTTCGGCACACCCCTCACACGTTTCGTGGTCTCATAGAAGCTCCACCGAAGGCCCCAATGGCAGCGCCCACATGGCAGCGCCGCACCCGTTTCGGCACACCCCTCACACGCTTCGTGGCACCATGGGGAGCTCAACCTAAGGCGCAAGCATGGCACCGCCGCACCAATTTCGGCACACCTCTCACACAGTTCGCGGCCACATAGGGCGCTCCACCGAAGGCACCAGTGGCAGCGCCCACATGGCACTGACGCGCCCATTTCGATACACCCAAACTTGTTTCGTGGCCCCACAGGAAGCTCCACCGAAGGCCCCAGTGGCACCGCCCGCATGGCGACGCCACACCCATTTCGGCATACCCCTCACACGTTTCGTTTCGTGGCCCCACAGGAGGCTCCACCGAAGGCCCCAGCGGCAGCGCCCACATGGCACTGACGCGCCCAGTCGACACACCCCTCACTTATTCCGCAGCCCCATATGGAGGCTTCACCAAAGGCCCCAGTGGCACCGCCTGAATGGCGCCGCCGTATCAATATCGGCACACCTCTCACATGCTTCGGGGCCCCATATAGCGCTCCACCGAAGGCACCAGCGCAGCGCCCACATGGCACTGACTCGCCCATGTCGACACCCCTCACTTGTTTCGCAAAGGCACCAGTGGCACCGCCCGCATGGCGCCGCCGCACTCGGCATACCCCCCACACGTTTCGTGGCCCCACAGGAGGCTCCACCGAAGGGCCCAATGGCAACGCCCACATGGTACCGCCGCAACCACTTAGGGACAGTCCTCACACGTTTCGCGTTCCCATATGGAGGCTCCACCGAAGACCCCAGTGACAGCGCCCGCATGGCGCCCCCAGGCCTATGCCGGCACACCCCTCACACGTTTCGTGGCCCCACACGGAGCTCCACCGACGGTCCCAGTTGCAGCGCCAACATGGCACCGCCGCGACCATTTCGACACACCCAATCACGCATTTCGTGGCCTCATATGGGGGCTCCACCGAAGGCCCCAGTCGGAGGGCCCGTCTGGCGCCGCAGGACCCATGTCGGCACACCCCTCACACGTTTCGCGGCCCCATCGGGAGCTCCACCGAAGGCCCCAGTGACAGCGCCCACTGGGCACCGCCTCCCCTCACACGTTTCGCGGCCCCACATGGAGGCTCCACCGAAGAAAGCCCCAGTGGCAGCGCCCGCATGGTGCCGCCGCACTCATTTATGCACACCCCTCACATTGTTCGCGGCCCCATAGGGCGCTCCACCGAAGGCACCAGTGGCAGCGGCCGCAGGCACCGCCGCGCCAATTTCGACACCCCTCACGCGTCTCAGAGCCCCAGGGGGGGACTCCGCCGAAGGCCCCAATGGGAGGGTCCGTATGGCGCCACTGGGTACATGTTTGGCGCACCCCTCACAAGTTTCGTGGCCCCACAAGGAGCTCCACCGAAGACGATGCTCGTAACTGCGGTACTCACAACTGCATATGGTCGGGCCCGTCGCCAGGATCATGTATTTGTTTACGGACGTGTGCGCAGAAGGGCGGCCGTGACAATCAGCGCCAAGGCAAGATCTGGGCCAGCGACAAGCAACGGAGAAGGACGGACCAGGAGAGACGGCGCAGCCACTCTCGCACAAGAGGGCGGAGAAGCGGCAAAGCCAGACGAGGGCCTTGCTCTCAAAGCGATGTCTCGCGGATGGCGGGAGGGCGGAAGCCTCAAGGATCCGGCACGCGATGGGGGCCAGATAGCCAAAGTGAAACGATCGAAGCTGGGCCTCCGCTCAGTGGTTGAGGCATGCCGTCGACTGGAGAAGCCCGTCCAGGACTCCAGGATTCCAGGCGAGCTCGGACTCCCAGTCGGCAGCCTCCTCTTGCCATGAGCCAGAAGGGTGCGCGAGGGCAGGAGGAAGAGGAGAAGCAGGAGGAGGAGGAGGAGGAAGAGGAGGAGGATGAGGAGGAGGAGGAGGAGGAACATAAGGGGTCCTGGGCCCCAGGGGCTCCCTTTAGCCCTGTGGCCTGCCCTGGAGCCTCTTGCAGCCTTCCCTCGGGGCCTCGCAGGACGGCCCCTGGGGCCCATCACCCCCCCCCCATCGGGACCCCGCTTTGGCCCATAGCGATCCTCAGAGACCTGCAGCACTGCAAACGTACCCCTCGCCTTCGATGACTCGAAGCGGTAACCCTGGAGGCACCGGAACCGGGGCCCGTACTGCAGACCGCCCATACGGTAGTTGATGTAAACGTCGTTCCTGTTTACCTCGGTAACGTGGAACTTCGCGTCCGAAGATGTGGTTGGCGCCTTCTCTTTTCGGCCGGTGGCGATCCCCTGCTTGTCCAGAAAATTCTGGGCACCCTCGGGGTCCTTCTCCAAAGCCCTCGCCATTATTTCATCCACGTCCTTTTGCGAATACGCGCAGGTCTCGTTAAGCACCTCGGGCTTCACTAACCAACCGAAGCTGGTCCATAACACTCATTCCCAAAATACTGAACACTCCATCGACGGAGGACCCGAGGAGGAGGACTAAGATAGCATGAGCACACATGAGAGGAGGGTCAACGCGGAGCAGGAAGAGGGCGACGAGGACTGGAGAAAATCCAGCGCACACCACGGATGGAACAGTACCTGCCAGGACGCTTCCCCCTGGGGCGCGGAAGGTACCTGCCAGGGCGCTTCCCTTCGCAGCCCGAGGGTACCTGCCAGGACGCTTCCGTCGGCAGCCCGAGGGTACACCCTCCCGCCCCAAGTCCCCTTTTCACAAGCATGTCTATACAGAAAGATGTTGCTATTTCGGTGAGCGCCCGCTGGACATGTGAGGCCCCCACGGTTCTGACTGGTGAGAACCCCGCGTGGACTCATAAAATACGCATCAGCCGAGACTTGACCGCACGTAGCTGCAAAGCGCAGGTGGGCTGAACAGGAATTGCCTTTCGCCTACGCAGCTGGCAGAGGCCCTGAGAAAATGGTGTCCGGCGACAGATCGAGAGCACGATCTTGGAACGGAGCCGCACTCCGTCAGCGAAACTGATTGAGCTTTAAAGCTGCCGGGACATCAGATGTCAGCATGAGGCCCCAGGCAAAAGTTAGATTCTGACAAGGAACCACCTTCCTCCTCTGTAACCGCTGGAATGTTCACGCTGTGCCATCGCGAAGTATGAACATCCAAAGCGAGAGCTCGGTCTGCCACGCTTCATCCCTGTAGCTGTTGGGGAGGGCAAGCTCTACGGTCCTGCGCTGTTGAAGCGTCAGGCGGGAGGAAGATTTTGAAGGGGGGCCGCGGTTTCTGTGCCTCCCCGCCACGCTGGGGGTGGCTGCCTCGGACCTCGCCTCTCCCTTCCCAGCGGTCCCAGCGGGAGGAAGAGGAGGTGCAAAAGGAGGACGGGGAGGAGGGTCTTCTGGATTGAACACCTTCAAGGCGGCGTTCCATCCCTGCTGGTCCGTGGCCTCCACGGCCGCCGCCAGCTCCTGCAGCGCCTCCAGCGCCTCCTGCCTGTTGGGCGCCTGACAGGAGAAAGAGCGCCGCTGGCACCACCATGCCATGGTGATGACTTGTCGGGGCAGGTAGAACAAGCAAAACAACAGATTCTGTGTGATGCGTTGTTGCCATATTTTCCCCCAAGGCATCACCATGGCATGGTTTCAGCAAATTTCGACTCAAAAAATCCGCTCGGACTTCCGAAGGCTCTTGTAGCACAAACTGCCGGGGCTGAACGCCCCTGGCAGCGCCTCCGAGAATTTGCGTTTGCGCAGCTCTCGCTTCGAGAAGGAAAGATCCCTCCAGAACAAAACAAATGCGCGCGAGAAGCAAAGCTGGACTCCAGCGACGCTCGGGGGGGCAAACAGCGGGTAGCACGGGGGGGGGGGCGCGCCCCTCCAAGCTTTCGGACCTTGCTGGAATTGGCGCGTTTCCCCGACATGCCGACCGCACCGTCCCGAGCATGATGATGGAAAGGTGCGTGCAGCGTTGGCGTGCTCTTCAGGCGGTCGACGCCTTGTCCGTACCCTTGCTCGCGCCAGAGGGGGGGCAAGGACAGGAGCCTGGTCTCTGCAAGCCAAGTTTTCACCCGTGCCTGGCCCCACCGGCAGCTAGGGGTACGGATGAGGATTCGGTCGCCGATCTTTCAATGTGCCGGCGCGCGGGTTTGGGTTCTCGATGCTGGCGCCACCCGCAGGGGCGAAGGCGGGCAGCACGGGGCGTTACTGAGGCCTGGAGCTCTCCAGGGCCCCGGGAGCCAGCCGAGACCGGCGCGCTCCCCCGCAACGCCGACCGCAGCATGCCAACTTGATGTGCAACGTTTCCTCCTCCCTCCTCCTCCTCCTCCTCCTCCTCCTCCTCCTCCTCCTCCTCCTCCTCCTCCTCCTCCTCCTCTCATTCATTCATCCATTCATTAGTTCATACTCAGGCTGAGGCGGTTGATGCCTATGCGGGGTGGGATGCAGAGAACAGGAAAAGGAAAAGAGAGCAGCAAACAGCATCGGCAGCTGCTACGGCCTGCACAGCGGACTACTGCCAAAAGAGCACCAGGGGGGGTACAGGCCAGAAAAATGGGGGGAGGTGAAGAAGAGCCCTTCATCCGTGTGCTGTGTACTGTCAAACAAAGACGCGTCGCGGCCATGCCGCAACACCTGCGCGGCATTTTCTATAAAAACTCACCGCTCTCTGGCGGGGCTCGGCAGCACGGCATACCTTCCCGCCCAGGCCTTTCCCCCAAAGCCTAGCTTGAGCAGCAGTCGGAGGTGAGTCGGAGGTTCGATGAGACTGTCCTAGGTCGGCACAGTTGGGCACAACCTCCGTTGATGTACTGCACAATCCGACCGTGCAAGAGTGTACGCATAGGGATCCTGTAGTGGCCACTCATCTCCTGACATGCCCAAATCAACTAACTCCCTCAACTTCCTCTCACTTGCGAGGTTCCAACGAAGAGGACCACGAGCAGGGGGGGCGCTGGGGGACCAGTCGCGCCTGCCTGCAAGGATCGGCCAGCGCTGTCGAGCATCTTGCAACGACGTGGACGCAAGAAGGAGGCAAAACCCCGAGGGGAACAAATTGGCCCTGACGGGGCCCCAGGTGCTGGCCTCTGAGAGGCCGCCCAGGGCCCGATGACCCTGAGGGTGATTGCAAAAGGGCCCGTCACGCATTGAGCAAAGTCGCTGCGTCAGGGAGGGGGTGTGAACAGCCAACAGGGAGGTAGATTTACTTACGTGGGCACCGGACCTTCACATATGGAGAGTGTGCATGCACGCGCGCGGGCGGGCGAACCTCTGGCAACGCCCAGGCACTGGGGGCACTTGGAATCCAATCACATTGGGCTGGGTGCACCATGATCGCTGGGACCTGGTGAACACACGCTGCGCATAGAAAAGTGAGTGACGTGCGGAGAAGCTTGTTGGCCACAGACACCTTTCTGGTTTTCCTTGTCACTCAAGTGACCCAGGCCCCACAGGTGGTCCGAAGAGCGCAGGGGCCTGGGTCTCGGCGTGGACCAACTCTTGCTAGGAGGTCCCATGATACCCCCGCGACACGCCCTGAGCGCAGCATCTCTAACCAAAGGGAAATGCCTTTGTCGTGCATGAGGCCCCCTAGGACCCCATCGTTAACAATGTCAATGCACAACACATGGAGATTGACAGGGTGGAGTCTGGCAAGGGCCTCTAGATGGTCTTGCATGTTACCAGCACAACGTTGCCCCGAAAACAAATACAAAACGTACATGACGGTCCTGGTGGGCATCCTGGGGGGGGGGGGCCATTGAGACCTCGTGACTTCGGGGGGAGGGGCTGCCATGGGAATAGTACGGGCCTCACGGAGCTCCTTGCGGGTGCAACTGATACGGGGAGCAATGGGGGGACCCTGACAGTGTACCCACGGTTGCTACGCAAAGGTGGCTGATCTTCCGTTCGCCCTGTTGCGCGCCGCCTCGAGCCTGGCGCTCCCGCGCGCTTCCTGCAGCTCGTCATGGCACGGCCTGTAGACGCTGGCGGCCCATGATCGCCAACAAGACGGGGCGTTCGACAAATGCTTAACAAGCCTGCTGATCTGGCCAAAACCACGGAGACAAATCTGGCTAGTGGCAAGAGACGAGGGAGCGTTGGCGGACCGATGAGCCTTCCCAACATGCACTACAAGGAGATGTGCGGACGCAGCAACATGCCCACATCGTATGCACATGAAACTGGGATCATCTTGGGGCGGGGCAGCAAGCGGGGCCTCCTCAATGGTTTTGACGAGTGTGCGCTTCCAAACCTGAAGGTGAACCCTGCCCCGGGAATAGGCCCGCGCGTGAGAAATAGCTGTTTGACCTTGCCAAGAAACTGGCGAGAATGCCCCCCTGGCAAATTCAATCCACTCTTTCACCTCCTCGGGCCCTGGAAGGTGCGGCCCCGTATGCGTGGCAGCGAAGCCGCTTGAAGTCGTCTCGCAACAGGATCAACCATCCCTTCTGGTCTCGGCTGGTGAGGTCCATCAAAAGTCGGAGGAGAGGGGGGGCTCCATGCAGAATGCGCGCCAGAAACCGACGCCGAGCAATCGTGACAATGACATGGTCAGGCAGCCTGCCAACAAGCAAATAAATCTGCGCACTGGCATGCGGTGTCTCGGCGTTGTTAGAGATAGGCCAGTTGAGAGCTGCCATGTAAACACTGAGGTGTGATGTGCTGACGAGACGGGCATGGTGCGTGGGTATGTGTCCATGTTGTTAAACCAAAGATCAAGACGGATGAACTGAGCGCCTCAGCCAGGGTGGTCTTCGTTTTGAACTGGAAGTTTATACGGGGGCAACGGAAACCTTGATGGGTTTCAACGCCGCGCGGGCTTTGACGCACCTGGAAACAGCCTCAGGTCCCAGGGGGGCCACGAATATCAACGAACGAGCCCAAGATCTTGTGGGCACGTACAGCGGGGGGACGAAAACCCCCTCCCGGCGGAATGAACGCGGCAAAACTGGCCATCGGGAAGGAGCACGGGTACCGTGCGAGCCCCAGGACCACGAAAGGAGGCCAGAACCTTGGTCTTGAGGGGACGGGGGTAAAGCCAGATCTGCATGCCGCACAGTACACAATCTCAGCAGGGTGCAATGCCTTGCGGGGAGGCTCGTCTGTTCTGTCAACTTGGAGAGGCACAGTGAGATCATCGACAAACGAGAGATCACTGCTGGTCTTCTGCCAATCGTCCTCTCTGGATAACAATTAGACTGGCGCCTGTTATGCGCCCTGTTGGTCTAAGTCATGTGCGGACATCCCCGCTTGAACCTCTAGATGCACCTTCCGGAAAACGCCATTGAACGTGCCGGCGGCGAAACGCGCTCCTGGCCTGGACCCGACAGGGGGAGCAACAGAGTCCTTAGCGGACGGCGCTTGCCATCAAGAGCCTCTGTGCGTTTCCTGGGTCGAACGAAGGCGGCGCGGGTGGGTGTCGTTTGCACCCGCGCTCAAAAGCCGCCCCTGAGTGAATTGCTGCGCGGCGCCTTTCAAAAGAACGCTCGGGATGTCCATGTGCTGCAGAGCGCGCTCAAGACGATCGCTCTCGCCTGGCAGTGATAACGCTAGTTGCTTGATGGTGCTGTAGAAAGTCTGGGCTAGATCTAGACAGCGAATGGCGCGATACCTTTTTTGGGGTGGCTGTTCGGCGAACGACCAGTCTGGTAGCGAGGGTGATCATATCCGTGCTCCTTGCTCCAACAAGCCCGCACTGGACGTCGAGCAGAGCCGTAGACAAGTACGGCATGGCCCCGTTTCTTACGGACTTGTGGTGTAATTTACGCGCAGCGCTGGTCAGAATAATGTTACGCTGGTGCACGGCAACCGAAGGGGCCCCCGAACCTTGGGAAAACACGTAAATGACCTCTCCAATCCTGAGCATGAGAAGTTCTCGTCCTCCGGGGCACACTTTGATTAGGAGCGGGCAGAGCATGCGCGCCACTTGTTGGGGCGCAACCTGAAACAGGGCTGGAAGGAAAGTGTGGATTCCTGGGGCCGTGCCTCCCCTATGGCTTCTAAGAGGGCACTCAATATCAAACGCCGATCATGAGGTGTATTCCAGCAAGTGTTGAGAAAGGTCGGCAAGCAGGTCGGGCAGCGCGTTATATGCTCGAATCATGTGAGAGAGCTCTGTCCCGATACCTAGCTCAACATTGCTGACGCGTTGCTGCATGAGGTCGGCCACCTCATCCTGGGTTCCAAGGGCCCTGGGGCTAAAGAAGGGGAAGCGGGATCAGGAACACCCTCAGTGGTCATGAAGGGCAGGACATCCGAGGGCTCAAAAGGTTATCCTCTTCTTCCCCCGTGCACAAGCATGGTCTTGAGATGTCTCCACATGTTCCTAGGCTCGTGAGCATCTGCTGCGATGTGCACCTGTCCTGCCGACTCGTCGAGGAAATGGGCGTGGTCAGCCTCTAGCTGCGTGGCCATCTCGACACTTGCTCTATTTTAGAAGGTGGGCGAGTATGACGCAATGGAGTTCTGTGGGAAGAGACCCCGGTCGGTAAATTCTTGATGCAAGCATAAACTGGTCGAGCAAGGCTGCAGGGGCGGGGGCCTCTCGATGGGGCCTCGTTTGACTGAGATCACCGCGCGCGGCCCTCTGGATGAACCTCCAAGGCGCGCTGCGATCAAGAGAACTCCTGCCAACATGTTCAGGGGTCAGAAACTTCTGCGGAGCTCTTTGGACACCTCGCCGCCAGGAGAGAACACCCAGGAACCCTGGGGAAACATAGGGCTTCTTGGCCGTACGTAGGCGAGGCCGACACACCTCGTTTGCAGCATCCAGCACCTGCTCGGTGGCGCTGCGGCAATGCTCGTTGACCTCAAAGCTCCATGGTTCCAAGGGAATCGCTTGCAAGGTGTTTTGGAACTGTTCGACGGCCTCGGGGTCAAACAGGAGCTGTTGGTCGAACCTGATCCTGTTAGGTTTGGGATTGCGGTTGGAGGCGACATCCCATTTGAATTCTGCAAGCACAGGGTAACGATCCTTAGCTCGTAGCCCGCTGGAGTAGGAAACTGAACGAGACTGCGCAAGAGCATGCAACTGTGGGTATGTAAAGATGTTGTCAATCCGATGCATCGCCCCACTGTTGCTGACAAAGGTGTGCGCTATGTCTGCGCCGAGCAGGAGTGTTAAGGGCCCTCAGAGTGGCTTCTATCAGGAAGCGATGCATCACCACGCCGAGGCGCGCGCTTTCCGCCCGGGCACGGCGTCACCAACGGCAAAGGAAAGCACTGAACCTAGGCGAGCGTTAACACTGATAAGCACAAGGTTGGGTTTCCAAGTGTCATGTAGCTGGCCTGGTTCCCTCAAGAAGCCCTCTCTGTCGGCTGCGTCGCAGCGGATGAAGACTGTGCGCCGCGAGGGCAACGAGCGAAACTGCTGGGGCTTCGATCCCTACGCAAAGCATGCGAGGCGTGGACGAGAGAACGCGGGCGGGCCTCGCTGCGAAGTTGCACTGTTTGTTTGCCCTTGGTGGCATACGGGATCTGCGTGTGAACCCGCAGTTCGACTCCTAACCCCTGAGTGTTGCATCCAGGGGAAATAATGAGGAATTCGCCCGCTACTCGGACGCCTTTGGGCGCCCTGGCTTCTTGGGCGCCCGCAGCGTGCGCGCGGAGGCCACTCATTTGTAGCCTTAGGGCCGTGTTGCGGGCCCCGCGGGGCTTCTCTGCGAGCCCATGGTCAACCCTGGCGGTGACCGAGCGAGCGTTGCATTGAGCGACCCTGGGTCAGACTCCATAGCTGGCCGGTCAGAGAAACTCAGTGGAACACCATGTAGTGCAGAACCCATAAAGTTCCACTGATGTCTGAATTCCAATGGGCAGGTTTGGGGGCGAGGGCTAGAACAGACCACCGAGTTGGCCAATGCCTCCCGGACCAATCTCGACAGGTGCGTCTCTGACGCGGCATCGGCAGCATGCGCTGTCCACGGTCTCGAGAAGTCTAGAGACTCCTCTCTAGCAAAGCACGTGCAGTGGCTGCAAAGTGCATATAGACCCAGGTGGTGTCTAAACGCAGGTTAGGAGAGGCTGGAACGAGAGGGCTTCATACGAGGGGAGGACGAATGAGAGGAGTGCAATCCGTGCGAAAAAAACGATGTGATTCACGCTCCATCGTACGCGAGCCTGCAGTCTTGATCCTCTCACTGGCGCCTGGCCTCCTTCCTCGGAGGACTGGCGGTCAAGTAATCCTGTTCTTCTGTCCCACCTGGTTGGGAGCCCACTATCAAGATAACCTCGGTCAGGCTGTGGGACGCAGCTGAGATGTTCGGGTCCTCCTCTGCCTGCTGGATCGGCTGGGTTGGCGCCAGATAGATCTGGTTGATCGGCTTCAGCTCTGGTACTTCTGCTGCAGCTGCTGGTTGGTGCCCGATTGATGATGGCGCCACTGGAGTAGGATCCGGGAATGGTGATGACGAGCGCTGAGCTGGCGGGAACGGGGATGTCGGTTCCGTTAGCGGCGTACCTGGGCGTCTGGCTGCTGGAGGTGTCTGCGGTACTGGCATCCCAATGGGTGTTGCCAATCCTGTCACTGGATCCGGGGGCCCTGTCACTTGCTGATGGGCCCCCGCAATACATCCCACCGCCGAAGTCACGTCTGGAATCTTCATGTCCTGAGCCGCTCGATTCTTAGTCTGAACTGTCATCTGATTCATTAAAGTACGCATGGCGGCACACAGAGAGTCAACATTGCGGGGGTCTTGTAGCTGCCGCCGTAGGAGCTCCAGTCGCTGCGGTTGGAGCTGGTGATGTGGCTGCCGATGCGCATGTTGCCGACGAGGGGGCTGCAGGCGGAGCGGCGCCAGCAGGATGCATTCTGGCCCTGGATGAGTGGATGCTGATGCCTGCTGGCCCTGGTCCTCCTCCCATGTCGTCATCGTCCTCTTCGTACTCACGGTCCATGGCAAGGTCCTCCAGCTCAGCAATACTGGCTTTAACTCTGCTGAGGTTGTCTTCGATGGCCTTCTCCTCACTGTTGCTTTTCGCGAATGCCCTTCAGCTGGTGCATGAACTGGTCCTTCGTCCTTTGAGGTGGTGCAACTGCTGTGTGATTGCTTCCGTGCTCGATTGCATTAGCTTACAGACCGACAGTTCCAACACGGCATCTTCTGGATTGCGGCCTGCCGAGCGAGTAGCGATGATGAGCCTCGCAAGCCGTAGCGTACGTCCGTAGTTCTGCCTCTTAAACGTGCGGAGGTCGGACATGTCTTTCGGTGGCTCCTGATCGTGCTGGGGCGCTTTGATGGACCCCAGCATGATGTCCCTGGGGATGGGCACGGCCTGCTTGACTATTGGGCGGGCCTCCTTGGAATTGTCCTTACGCGCACCTTCCGACTTGGGTCGGGACTGAGACCTCTTGATACGTACACGGCCATCGTTCAGCTTTTCGTAGTGCGCTCCACCAGGGTACGGGTTCGCGAGGTTCTGGTTCCTGCCGAAGGTGGTTCCGCAAAGGCAGCGCCAGTGATGTCCCTTGACCTGGCGCCCGCACGGTATACATTCCCATGCAATTCCTGGCCCTGATTCTCTCGCTGATCTTTGCCCCCGGAATGCCATTCCCTCCGAATGGCGACTCCGAGGTAGACGGGCCGCAGCCTGTAGGCGAAGAAGTGTCCTCGCTTGGGCCCGCTGGGCCTTAGCCCGACGGTGCCAGCTGGGTTCCTTGGGAATGATGTCGCGGTGCCAGAGATGTACAGTAAGGATGGCACGCGCCTGGAATTCGGCCTCGTATAGTATACCAAAATCTGGAACTCTCGCTTCCAGGAAAGGGGGCCAGGGCCAAGCCCTCTCCTCCTCTCCTCCTCCTCCTCCTCCTCCTCCTCCTCCTCCTCCTCCTCCTCCTTCTCATCCTCCTCCTCCTCCTCTCCCTCCTCCTCCGCCTTCTCCTCCTCCTCCTCCCTCCCCCTCCTCCGCCTCCTCCCCCTCCCCCTCCTCCTCCTCCTCCTCCTCCTCCTCCTCCTCCTCCTCCTCCTCCCCTCCTCTCCTCCGCTTCCCCCTCCTCCGCCTCCTCAACCTCCTCCGCCTCCTTCCTCCTCCTCCTCCTCCTTCTCCTCGTCTTCCTCCTCCTCCTCCGCCTCCTCCTCCTCCTCCTCCTCCTCCTCCTCCTCCTCCTCCTCCTCCTCCTCCTCCTCCTCCTCCTCCTCCTCCTCCTCCTCCTCTCCTCCTCCTCCTCCTCCGGCCGGCTGCCAGCTCCCCTGCCAGCCTTGTCCACCACGCCTCTCTTTGTGCAGACGCGGCTGAGCGTACGCCGCGCGGCCACCTCGCCCTCCCTGAGTCCGTGCTCCTGGCAGATTCTCAGCGACTCGCCCGCAAGCGCCAGCGCCTCGTTGTTCCTGCCCGCGTCGAGCTTCAGGGACGCCTCTGGGAGAGGATCGCAGACTTGTGAGTAAGGACGCACGGCAAGGACGCAAGGCCTCCTGGACGACCACGTTGAAACCTTGTGGGCGGTGCACGGCCACAGCTTGAGCCAGGCATGCCTGATGGTGGGCCGAAACGGACAGGATGCAAGGGTACCGTTGGAAAGCTACTCATCCTCACACTCAATTTTGGTTGTGCTTGCTGGACCTCTAATGACCTCTCCCAGGATGCGTTCTGGGCTGACAAGGATCCCGAGGTACATCCAGCCGTGGCGACGAGGGCGCGCCATAGGAAGCCAAATCCGTCGACCCTGTCGGCGTGTGTGAGGGGCTTTTCCGTTAGAGTCGGGCTTGTCCGTTGGAGTCGTCGTCTCCGTCTTCCTCTATTCCATGTGCCTGGGCCCTCTTCATCATACGCGCCGTCCAAAGCAAAATTGAACAACATCGGAGTGGAATCGAAGGTCAGCCCCTTCCCTTTGATCCCTTCCCCGCGCCTGGGGGGGGAGGGTCCCGGAGGGGTCCCAGGGGGTCCCGGGAGGGTCCCAGGGGGGGTCGCCACCCAAATACGCTTTCCCCCTGCGCCCCGGCCCCCGCTCCAGCCCGGGCCCTGGCCTCCGCTCCGGTCCTGGACCCGGACACGGCCCGGGTCCCGGCCCTGGCGCCCTGGCCCTGGTCCTGGCCCCAGCCGCGGCCCCAGCCCGAGCCCTGACAGAGCCCAAGAGGCTCCCAAGAGAGCCCCAATAAAGGCTAGAGCGCGTCAGCGTCGTCGTCGTCGCCGCTGCCGACGCCGCCGTCGTCGTCGCCGTCCCCCTTCAGGGTCGGCGGCACCGGCCGCTAGGCCTTCCCAATCAAGCGAAAGCGACTCGGTGTCAGTCGGAGGTGAGGGGGTGAGATCGAAGTGGAACGGAGAGCCCCCCTACCGGGAAATCGGTTTCGGTTTCGTGTTCGTGCGTGCCGTGCGTGCGGGCGAGTCGAAGCTGCGTGGGCGGGCGAGAAGAAAGTCTCCTCCGGCTGAGGCGCGGCCGGACCAAATGATTCCTCTCCGGGGCCCGGTGCCGCGCGGTGTCCCGCCGGTGTCCCGCCTCCGGCTGAGGCGCGGCTGGACCAAATGATTCCTCTCCGGGGGCCGGTGCCGCGCGGTGTCCCGCCGGTGTCTCGCCTCCGGCTGAGGCGCGGCCAGACCAAATGTTTCCTTTCCGGGGGCCGGTGCCGCGCGGTGTCCCGCCGGTGTCCCGCCGGAGTCCCGTCGGTGTCCCGATGGATGATGATGATGATGATGATGATGATGATGATGATGATGATGATGATGATGATGATGATGACGATGTCGATGATGGTGATGATGGTGATGGTGGTGATGATGATGGTGTCCCGATGATGGTGATGATGATGATGATGTTGACAATGTTGATAATAATGATGATGATAAGGATGGTGATGGTGGTGATGATGATGGTGTCCCGATGATGATGATGTTGATGATGTTGATGATGATGGTGTCCCGATGATGAAGATGTTGATGATCCTGATGATGTTGATGATGCTGAGAGGATGATGGAGATGAATACGATGCTGATGATGGTGTCCCGATGATGATGATGAGGTTGATACTGATGCTGTTGATGATGATGGTGATGATGATGGTGTTCCGATGATGATGATGATGATGATGATGATGATGATGATATTGATGATGATGATGATGACGATGATGCTGCCCCGATGATGATGATGTTGATGATGAGGATGCTGATGTGGTGATAATGGTGAAATCGATGATGGTGGCCCGATGATGATGATGATGATTATGAAGTTGATGATGATGATGATCATGGTGTCCCGATGATGATGATGGTGATGATGATGGTGTCCCGATGATGATGATGATGATGATGATGTTGATGATGATGTTGCTGATGATGATGATGGTAACCCGATGATGATGGTGTTGTTCATGATGATGATGATGATGATGGTGGTGTTCGAATGATGATGATGATGGTGTCCCGATGATGACAATGGTGATGATGATGGTGTCCCGATGATGATGGTGGTGATGATGTTGATGATGATGGTGATGAGGTGATGAAGGTGATGATGGTGTCCCGATGATGATGAGGTTGATGACGTTGATGACGATGATGTTTATGATGATGACGTTGATTGTGAGATCGGTTGTGACATCGATAGTGAGATCGAAAGTGAGACCGAATGTGATCTCGATTGTGAGATCGATAGTGAGATCGATACTGAGATCGATTGTGAGATCGATAGTCAGATCGGTTGTGAGATCGACCGAATGAAATAGACCGAGTGAGATCGATTGTGAGATCGATCGAGTGAGATCGATCGAGCGAGACCGATAGTGAGATCGATAGTGAGACCGATCGAGTGAGACGTTGGTTCCTCCCCCCTCGAACCTCCTTATCACCCGAAGGGTGGTCGTATAGGTACGTAGTTATATGTTTCTCCCCTGAGCCTTCACGCGCAGTGCCTTGGCCTCGCCAGGGAGGTCCTCGGATTCCTTCTGAAGCGCCAACCACTCCTCCACAACTTCGAGGGCTCCGTGAGGATCGCCGCGAGCGGAGTGCACGTTCTGAAGCACGTCCATCACCCTGGAGGTGGCCATCCTGTCGCCCGTCTTTTTGAGCATCGCCAGCTCGTCGCTGGCCGCCATCAGAGCCGCGAACGAGTCGCTCAGCCCCAGGTTGCACTGCACGACGATCTCCAGGGCAGAGACCCGGCCCTCCGCGTTGCCAGCTCTTCTGAACTCCACGAGCGCTTCCTGCTTGGCTGAAGGCATCAGGTCCTAAGAGAAACGGGTCCTGGACTCCGGGGCCTCCGCCCAGACCAGCTCTTCCTCCTGAGACGCTTTTTGACAGTCCCAGGGCCGGGGAAGGGAAGCCGGAAACGGCGGGAAAACTCAGGAACCCCTACCCTCAGGACCACTTCGACTCATGGCGACCTGTGCTGCGTACAGTGCGCTGTCCATCTTCGACACACACAGCGACCTCACGGTATCCCCGTCCATGCCAGCCGAGGCCTGTTCCTCAAGGAGCTGCGTGCACTCCTCGAAGATCGCCCTGGCCTGCTCCAGCATATCTTGCGCCATGGGCTTTGACTGCCTGGGCGCCGGCGCTGGGACCAGCGCGGCTTCCTATGCCCTCGACCTCCGACAGATTGTGAGTTTCCAGGTCCTGCGGGCCCCAGAAATCTGGACCCCTTCCCCGAATGCAATTTTTCATCCTGGGTTTCTTTCGGACGATCTTGGGACCACAAAACTGGACCCCAGAAGCCCAAACCCAGGACAATACAAAAGGACGTGCACAACATCACTCCGCATGAGGTCTGGGTAGGAAAAGGGCCCGCGCGCGGCCTGGGCCAAACGGGCTGTGGCAACATGTACCTTCCACAGTGAACCGCCTGTCCCCTCCTTGAGCCCGCCGTCTTTTTCTCGAATGGGGCGGAAGCTCCAGACGGATCCTGGCCGCGGATGCACGCCTGGGCAGCCGCGGGTGGCGTGGCAATGCTTCGGGCGAACCACACATACCATTCGGCCCTCCTCCCTCATCCGCCTCCTCTTCCTCTCCTCGGGCCTCCTCGTCTCCCGGAGAATGTCAGGGCACACTGCTGCCACTTGGCCAAGGCGCAGGCAGTCCATGGACTTGTGACGGATACGTACGTACAGCCAGCAAGCATCCACATCCACAGCTGATGGAATCCTGCCTCGGGTCCCTCGGGAACGGTGGATGTGGATACGTTCTTGCCTCAAGGGGCGCGCAGTTATCCACATCCGACACTCCTTCGGGCATGACTCTGGAATGTGGATCTGCATGTGCACGCGGGCGACGTTGGTGTTCTTTATGCGGTCGACGTTTTGTCCATACACCTGCTCACGCCCCAACACGTGGGGCCAGAGGTGGGGACATATATGGAGTTCTGGCCTCTGGATGCAAGGTGTTTGTCCATGCCCAGCCCCCTCGGCGTCTAGAGCTGGAGGCAGTGGGGTCTCGGGGTAAAACACGGGAGTGGAGACGCAGGCTTTCGCAGCAAGGGGCCATGGGACCTCCGCAAATGATCAAACGACTGTGGAAGCTCCTTTCCTCCATGCCGGAAATCGTTGTCCTCCAAGGTACAAGCTTGACGATACAGAAGAAGGTTTTGGATCCTGTAGGTTGTCCCGTCGGGCCCCACCAAGTCGGATGCACAGAGCTCGCCGGCCCTATTTGAAGCGATCGAGAATTGAAGATCGAGGTCCAGCGACACCCCCCCAAATTAGCACACCAATGTTCGAAAATACAGGGGAAACCTGGCTACATCCCACCCCCGCAATAGTGGGCGCATCAATTCGCCCGCCACCATCATCATCATTCCCATTGTTATCACAATCGCAATGATCCCCTGAATCGCGCGAACCATCTCCCCTGTCCACTCACGCCCTCGATCCCCAATGCTAATGAGCGAGCTGGTGGCGCAATGCCAACTCGTTGCATTATAGCAGCGGGGGGCGCTGGAATAGTCGAGGGCGGTTTGATGAAGCACTGGCTGCATTTGCATTGTGCGATTTAGCTCCCCACTGGGGATCAACATTTCGCTCCCAGGCGGGGCTCGGCATTGGATAGCTCTCCGTTGAAGCCTCGCAGGACTCAGCATTGTAGGGCGCCCTCTTAAAGGTTACCCTTGCATCCTTGCCTCGAGCGTCCCATGTGCAATGTCTGCTTGAGCAAGGCCACTTTTGCATCCATGTCTGCCTCAGCCATTCGCAGGGCCTGTCTGAGCCAGGCTACTTCTGCATCCACGCCGGCACTCCACTTACGAGCTTAGTATGCTGGCTGTGCCCATTGAGGGCAACAACTTTGTGAGGCTAATTTTGGCGGTGGTGGTAGGACAAAGTTTGTTGGACGCTGTGGCCCTTTTCGGGCCCCGGAGACCTCCAAAGGGCTGCGAGGTGACCCCGGTGACTTCCCGTTGGAAGTCCCCTGAGGTCATCGGAAGCCTTCAGGGAGGACTCCAGTTGCCTCTGGAGACCCAGACAGGGTCTGAGACGTCCAAAATCCAACCTCGCAGGGACCATCGATTGTTCGGCGGTGGTGGCACGTCGGCAGAGACAACGCTATCCGACGACCTGCTCCCATATCCTAAGATAGAGGTTCTTGTTAGCAGTGACGCCTCCGCCTCCTTACTCCCTCCTTCCCGCCCTCTTTCCCCTTAGTATTCAGACTTACTCATACTCAGATTCACTCGCACCGTGCGTAGACCCATGCTCAAATTCACTCACAGTCTGACTCACTCACACACAGACCTTCTCACACACAGACCATTCAGACTCAGATGCACTCACACCCAGACTCACTTATCACACTCGGATTCACTCACATTCACTCACCCTCAGACCCACTAATACTCGGACTCATTCACATTCAGACTCGCTCATTACAGGAAGCTTCCCACTCACTGGTAAGCAGTCTCACACACTCAGACTTGCGGACACTCGGACCCACTGAGTCGGATCCACCGCGATACATCACGCGCAGCATCTTGGCACCAACAGGAGGAGCCGCCAGGGGGTGGGACACTCGCTCGTTGGCGGTTTGCCTGTTCGGTTGCCCAGGCATGAAATCCTCTCTTTTGAAAGCCTCGTGCTCACCGCGATGCAGCGGGCATGGCAATTGGGCACCCCAAGATGGAGCCGCCAGGGGGGGGTAGGACACGCGTCCGTTCGTGCTCAGATTGTGGGGATGCCTCAAGTTGCTTGCCTGTTCAGTTACCCCAGACGTCTCTCCTTCGAAGGCTCCTTGATCACCCTGTTAAAGCAGGCGTGGCGCTTGGGCACTCCTAGGAGGAGCCGCCAGGGGGTAGAACGCTTGCCCGTTAGCGCGCAGATTCCGGGGATGCTTCAAGCGGCTCGCCTGTTTGGTTACCCCGGATTTCTCTCCTTTGAAGGCTCCTTGGCCACCCGATTAAAGCCGGCGTGGCGCTTGGGCACTCCTTGCAGGAGCCGCCAGGGGTTAGAACGCTTACCCGTTGTCGCCCACATTGCGGGGATGTCTCAAGCGGTTTGCCTGTTTGGTTACTCAGACTCTGTGTTTGAAAGCCTCGCGCTCACCGAGAAACAACCGGCGTGGCATTAAGGCATGTCAAGGAGCGGGGATGTCTCGAGCGAAGCGCCCATTTGGCGTCGGAGACCCTGCTGCTTTCAGAACATATTGCGCCGATGTTTCGGGCGAGGCGACTGTTTTAGCACCCCAAGGGGGGGCCCGCCATGGGGTAGGACACTCCTCGTTCGAGGCCAGATTGTGGGGGGATGTCGAGCGAGGCGCTCGTTTAGCGTCGGCGAGCCCTCTGCTTTCAAAGCAGATTGTGAGGACGTCTCGAGCGAAGGGCTTGCTTTAAGGGGGGGCCGCCAGGGGTTAGGGCACTGCCCTGTTCGCGGCCAGACTTTGGGGATGTCCCGAGCGAGGCGCTCGTTTTGCCTCTGAATTCTCAGAGTCCCATGATAACAGCGATGTAGCAGGCTGGGGATCTCTCACACGCAGTCACTTACAGTGGGAAGCGCCGGGAAATGAGGTGCACATGGGGATCCCCGCCTGGCGATTTTTTTCGATCGCAAGTCTCGACCCGTCCATGGGGGTAATTTGTCGTCCCAGAGCCTTTTTGTTGGTGGCACCGGGCCCGAAAACGGTCGCCAGAAAACAGACTTGAGCAACGACACCAGGATCTGGGACAAAATCAATCTGGCGGAGGTCCAGATGGCATCGCCAGAAATGGCCTGGGGTGCGCTCTGACCAGAACCTGGAGACGACTTAAGCAGTGGCCAAGAGGACGCACCCAGCAGCCCAAACTCTGTAAACAATCATTGCAAAGTTCGATTCTCGATGCTTTCGCCTCCTCCCCATTCCGCTTCCTCCTCCTCCTCCTCCTCCTCCTTCCTCCGTAGCCGTTGGCTCAAGCCGCTCAAGCCGTTCTGGGCCCTGTCCGCGCCCCCGTGCGCTTGGGCCTTGCCGACGCGCTCTGCAGAACGGCCAGCGTCGGCGAGCCGTGGAGGTGTGACGCCTGGCAACGAGGTGGGCGTGCCCCCTGAGGGCCCGATCGCGGCCTCCCGCGCGCAGGGCGCCGTCCTCGAGATCCACTCGTTCGAGCTGGGCAAGCTGGTGGTGAAGGAGGTCGTCATGGGGCACCCTCGCAACCGCGAGGCACTTCTACCGGGGACACGTTCGAGGAGCAGCTGGAGCCGAACGGCGACAGCCTCGCCTCCGACGCGCTGCAGGAGAAGGTCGGGCCTACTACGCCGCAGTGCAGTGACGTGGAGGCCAGCATCCAGGTGGAGGAGCCCGACGCGGTCGCCGCGATCCCCACTTTCCCCAAGCTGGTGGACAGCCTCGTGGGAAGGCCGTGGAGGTGCCCGATGATTTGAGCGACGTCCACGTTGAGGGGCAGGCTCGGCGCACCGCTGGGCAGGCTTGGCAGCGCATCGCTGTTGAGCAGGAGTGCTTTTTCTCCCCTCCTCGACTCCTAGTCGGCATGTCGCCAGTGACCCAGGAGAAGGAGTTCGCCTAGGTCCGGGAGGCCAGCTTCCCGAAGTCGCTCAGGGCGCAGACCTGGGCTGGTCAACATGACGACGATGGCGTTACAAGATCGTCAAGCACGCCGAGGTGTCGACGCAGCACGTCGACACCGTCCATGGGCTCGGGGTGCAAACCGCTGTCGCTGGCGCGCCGACGCGGAGCTGGAGGGCCACAATCGAGGCCAACAAGCGGCGCCTGCCAGGGAGGCCGCCGCTGCGGACCGCCGCCGTGCCATGTGGCGGCTCGAGCACGACAAGCTGGCTATGGGCATGCAGAGTGTATCAGGAGACGAGTGTGCCGTATTCGTTAGGCCTGGAGGGAGGCCGACAACGCGGCGGACGACTTCTTCGACCATGTCCTAGATGCCGTTGATGGCCTCGAACCGGGCTCCGTGGAGCATGAGGCCGCGCTCGTGGAGGTGACTGAGCGGCACGGGGTCTCGCTGGCCCTAAGAGCCGCCTTCGTCAGGCCGCGGAAGAATGATGTGAATAATGATAACAAGAGGAAAAATAATCATACGAAACAAATAAATTAATACGATTAAGAACAATACGAATAATAACAAGACTACGAAGAAGACGAAGAAGAATACGTACGGTGAGAAGGTCGACGGCGCCGACGAATATGAGTACTCGGGTCCGTCGAGGAGCTCTGACGGCTAGCGTGGGCAGCCGCCGAGGCCAGCTATGCGAGGCTGCGGTGTGCTCGGCTCGAGACGCTGGTGTCCTTCTGGGGGTCTGTGGGCTGGTTCGTTTTCGGGCCCGCGGGGTTCCTGGGGGCGGCCATGGTGGCTGCGTTCGGTTGCCCGTTGGTCTCCGTCCCCGCGG